CTCAATCAAATATTTCTTGATATTGTATTAGTATTAGCAACTAGTATTTTCATTTGCAATGATTCTAATTATTTGGGTTCCTTTCTATTTACTTCCTTCGATTATTGTATCCATTTAGGGTTGGGTGGAAGAAGAGAAATTCAGTTTATTGACTAAATGGAATGAACCTCTGCCAATATTTGATTTATTTCATGGCATGTATATGTATCAATTCTCTCGTTGATAAAGACCTTCACTATTATTATTATTAGCATTATTCCTTCCAATTACCCGCATCATTTTTTCGCCAAAAGTCGTGATTCTATAAGTAGCGTGACAAACTAAGATGATTACAACCAAATGGAATTAGTTTCGTACCAGTTAACAGTAAGTGAGCACTAATGAACCGTAGTAGCTTTTTGTGAATGGGGAATTGTTTACTTTCCATTGAAAAACGCATTCTTGTTATTGAGAAAATTTCATGGCGAGAAATTACGCATGGTACACTGATATGAATATCCTACTACTTAGTGATGGTGATTTTGTTCAATCTAATTAGGTTTCACTGCTCAGCAACTACAGTTAGTGACATGACCACGTGCGAGGAATTATCACTAAATTTATTCTCAAACTGTAGCACTATCATCAAAGATTGTCGAGTGATTCCAGTGCAAGTATAAGTTAATTACCAACTCAAAAGTTCATCACATTACAAAATGGTTTTGATATACATTACAAAAATGATGAATTCCGCAAATTAAACATTTCTCGAAATAATTGTCTCAAGACAATGGGGTATCGAATTCTTCTTTGAGCTGTATATTCCAAGAAAATTGAAGGCAGTCATGAAATTTGATGTTTTTTGCTAGAAATTCAATTTCGATATCTTAATTGAATGACCTACTTCAATTGAGATTGAATTATGGAAATGTATTAGCTACGAAAAGTGCATTAGATATAACTAACCCAATTATTGACAAAAAATATTTGGTTGTCAAACTCTCTGTTTGTTTATAAATATATTTGAATCGATATATCCATATATATGAAGAAATATGTATATACAAAAATAGCATTCATGATGCAACACCAGGCAGCGCAGTTTCGTTCCACCTTGGGTCTCATCAGTGTTAGTAAAATGAATCACGAATGCAACTTTCTTCTGATTTGATGATAGTCAGTAACTCGTCATTGATTTCTATGCCCTCATAAAGAAATATATTTTCCAGAATGGAAAAATTAATTCCACATATGCCACTCATTCAATCACAGAAGGGCATGAGTTCAATCAAGAATACAAGCCCCTCCATTTCCAGAAGAAAAATTTGAAACTTAACCTGTTGGAGACTTTGGAAATAAACAAATTCAAAAACTCTCAATATCTGATGAACGATCAAACCGAATTGAATAAGTAGCCATTACGGAATCTGTTCATTTCCAGGATAAAATAGTTAGGTATATTTACAGGTATATTTTTGAAAAATTTATAGAATTCATACCTGAACATTCCAGGTAGATTCATTCATTAGACAGACGAGTAGGTAATAGGTTAGAGTATAAGATGGTTGTAATTTAGAAGTAACTTATAGTGAAAATCATATAATCAACTGTATTAATTCGTTTTTTCCCCATAATCACTATAAAACTATTGAAACTACCAAAAAGAGGTTGAAAATAAACTTTGGCTAAAATGAATATTTGTTATAATACGAATAAGATCTTGGATCATCCGAATCAGCATGCATTTACTCCGGGAAGGTCTACTGATTCGGCCCTTCACCATGTGGTTTTCACAATCGAAAGATCATTGAAAAAAAAAAAGAATCCTACCTGGGTATATTCATAGATATCGAGGGAGCGTTTGATAAAACAACCTTTTCAACAATTACCCAGCAACTACACTTAAGGAATGTACCTCTGGTAGTAGGAGAATGGAAACTCAAGATTTCTATAGTAGAGCAATAAGTATTAATCTAGAAGACATCACAGTAAAAGGACTGGTCATGAGGGGATGTCCACAGGGAGGGGTCTTATCACCCCTTCTCTGAAACATAGTTCTGGATAACCTGATTAATCACCTTAACATAAATGGATTCTACACAATTGCATATGCAGATGACATAGTTATCTTGCAGACCGGCAAATTTGTAAACACACTGTGCGATAGAGCACATGATGAGCTCAAATTAATAGAAACATAGTGTATGGAACAGTCACTGTCGATCAATCCCAAGAAGACTGAGATGGTTTTTTTCACAAGTTAAAGAAGTTTAACAGGCTTAAAACCTCCCGAAATGGACTACTGATTCGGCCCTTCACCATGTGGTTTTCACAATCGAAAGATCATTGGAAAAAAAGAATCCTACCTGGGTATATTCATAGATATCGAGGGAGCGTTTGATAAAACAACCTTTTCAACAATTACCCAGCAACCACACTTAAGGAATGTACCCCTGGTAGTAGGAGAATGGAAACTCAAGATTTCTATAGTAGAGCAATAAGTATTAATCTAGGAAACATCACAGTGAAAGGACTGCATGAGAGGATGTCCACAGGGAGGGGTCTTATCACCCCTTCTCTGAAACCTGATTAATCACCTTAACATAAATGGATTCTACACAATTGCATACGCAGATGACATAGTTATCTTGCAGACCGGCAAATTAATAGAAACATGGTGTATGGAACAGTCACTGTCGATCAATCCCAAGAAGACTGAGATGGTTTTTTTCACAAGTTAAAGAAGTTTAACAGGCTTAAAACCTCCCGAAATCTTCAAAAGCAAACTAAACTTCTCCGAAGAGGTGAAATACCTTGGTACTATCCTCGACAGGACGCTAACATGGAACTCTCATCTACAGCGTAGAGCAAAGAGAGCATACGTGGCTTATGAGCAATGTCGGAGGACAGTGGGACGCGCATGGGTTCTTTCAGCACGTGTGGTTACCTGGATCTACACTGCAATAATAAGACCTATGTTAACGTATGGATCCATTGCATGGGAACCGAAAGTTCTACAAGCAACGGCCATCCAAAAATTATATCAAATACAGCGACTGGCTTTTTTACACATCACAGGAGCCATGATAACGACACCAACCGTGGCAATGGAATTAATTACGGGTCTGACTCATCTGGACCTGTACGTTGAGGAGGTTGCGTGAATGTCCATGGCACGGCTGGTGTAAACCTCGAAGTAGAAGTGGGTCAATTGAGGCGGGGCCTATAGCAAGAAGCGCTTACTACGCAACCTCTGCTGCAGGCAACAAGTGATGCAATTGAACCCAGGTTTGTGTTCAATGAACCCTACAAAATACGCATGCAATACGCATATATACAGACTACTCAAAAACCAAAGAAGGCTCAGGATGTGGAGTGTACTCCAGATCACTAAGCCCAAGGATTAAGTGGGAAATGGGAAGAAATACCAGCGTGGTCTAAACATAACTCGCTGGGATTTCAATCGACACAAAAGAAATAACCAAGAAAGAAATTTCTGGCAAAAACAACAGACTTGATTGGCAGTAGACAAGCCCTATTAGCTTCGAATAGACAACGTATGACCTCATGTACTAGAACTATAATCTAGTACTAGAGTGTCACCAAGATCTAGCCAAAGCCTCAGTAGATAATAACATTATCCTGAGGTGGGTTAAAGGGCACGACAGGAGTAAAGGTGATCGCATTGCCGACTCTTTAGCCAAGGAAGCGGCTGGACTAAGAATCTTAGTACCCAGTGACACCTACGGCCTGATTACTCTGACAATTGAGGAACTAGTCAAATGTTACACCCATGCTCAATACTTAAAGACATGGGATAGAATCAAAGGATGCAATCTTACCAGGATCACCTTGGGCGACCCTGGCGATGACCAGGAAAAATCTACGCTTAACAGTTCGATTTCTGACTGACCACTGTCAATTAAGGAAACACCTCTATAATATGGGGCTAGTAGACACACCTCTATGAAGGATGTGTGAACGGGTAGATCAAACTGTCAGGCATGTCTTATGCGAGTGCCCGGAGTTATCGTCAATGAGAGGGTGTGTGTTCGGCGAATCTTGGCCTACACCTGCCGATATAAAGGAGATGTCTTCCAGTGACCTGTCCACCTTCCTGGAAAGGACAGGATGGACGATGACCTAGAAGGACAACTCCTCGGAAGGAAGTACAATGGGTCACATGAGGCATAAGTGCTGTGGGCTTACACTCACCCTCCCTACTCTACAGATACAGTAGATTTCGTATGAGCTGTCATTAGAGGTTTTTTAGTGATGTTCAAAGTATTTTGTGCTAGAATGAGCTACGAAAAGTTGAATTTTGCTAATGATGTGAAATTGCGAAGTGGAGCTAAGACAGGTGCTTCAAATATAATGAAAGGTTCAACACAATCTTCAAAGCATGCAAATAATATAGACGAGCGCTAACGAGAAGTCATAAAAGCAGGACTTATATAGTTGACAAAATTTTAAAGTACAACTGATTCATACTTGATCTCTTCAAAGCTGGAGATCAATGGCAGAAATACGAGCAGAAGAGATTCTTCAATAGCCACGAACTAGCAGCAACAATATTGGACACATTTCCTCGCCTTGTATATGGCCTTATAGTGATATTGGAAGTTCCACCAAGCGGACTGCTATCTATAAACTTGATGTCGAGAGAGGCTGCCGAAGTTCGCAATGGAGTTTAGCACAGAGGCTTTTAATCGTGATGTCATAAATGAACTACTATTGACTTTCCATTCCGTTATAACTGGAAATAGACGTGATTCACTAAAAAGTGTTTAATCTTTCCTAGAAGAAACTTTTGAAATGCTTTCTCTCGCTGAAATGTAGATCAATCCAATGATGAGAATGAGTCTTCAGAATCACCAATAATGATAACATAATGATGACAACATAAAAAATTCAAATATTCTTTTTTCATAAAAGCTTGAAATATATTTTCTGTATCTTTCATACCTATATCAGGTTCATTACAGGTATTCACATTGTTTTTAGTTGCTTTAGATGATTAAATAATTCTGTACGTATTTTACTGCTATGACGACGGTGATTAATGTCCTCAAGCGTACCAATTTCAATTTTTCATTTACCAAGGCCGTTTCCTGAAGAAAATTCTCAAGCATATCACCTTCATGCACGCCACTGGGTAATATTGACCACTTTCATTGTTGAAATGCAATCTAATCACTCTCTCTTGTGCGGGTCGCGATCGAGGGGTATCCTGAGAAATTCAGAATCTAGTTGGCACGAGAAACAAGACATGTCAGTGCTATGGGCACCAGTGCGTCGCTCAAACTGCTGTTACTCTCCGAAGTGCTGCACTTCTGTGGGTCAATGTCGTCCTCGCACCAAGGTAATCGCTGCGACTTGTGTTACGGTAATCGACCCGTAGGTGATCGCGAGAGTGTAGTGGTTTATGGCTGTGTGTTGCATAAGCAGGAATCGAACTGTAGGCCATAGGGCACGAATTGAGTAGCTTTGTCGCACGATCATATAATGTCACTGGATCAGGTTACTTTTGATTCTGGAAAACAGAGTATTTTTGTTTGCTTGAAATCTCTTCTTTGTGGTCCTTATAAGCAAAAATGGACTACTGATTCATCTTTCAATTCGCCTTGAGTTGTATATTTCCCCAAAAGGGCTCATTAGTTTATCAAGGCAGGTGTTTTTCTCACAGAAATGCAGAATAATATAGAATAATGGTGGAATGATGAATATATTTTGTTTTTTTATTTATAAGTCTTCTGAATTATCCTATTTTTCCAAGTCTCCAGAAGACACTGTATCCATAAATACTTAGGTTTTTGAAGCGGGGTCTTTCCTTATTGAAATGTAGATTCAGAAACCACTAGCTCATCAGGTGTTGGAAAGTTTTTTCTGAAACCAGAATGACAAATGATTCCATAGGAAATTGATATTTTCTACTTGCATCTCTGCTATCTTTTCAGTTCGAGAGCCATCTGACTGATTTATTTCCTTCAGATCCCTGGAGAAACTTCTACCCCAATTGTTTCCTTTTAGTGTATCATAACAACCATTCCAACAACCTTTTCAGGTGTACTACCTTGTCCTTTGCAACAAACTGCGTTTGTCCTTTTGCTGCAGTGTCTGCATTTGAGATTTTGGTTGCACGACTCTATTTCATTCACTATGATCATTCAAATTCTATTCTCATTCTGTTGAAGCAATTTCTTTGTTTTGACCCGCTGTAGATCTCATCAGTGCTGCCAGGCTAAATCACTAATGTATTGCTCTAGTCAATGCTCCCTCAAATGATGAAGTAGAGGCAAAAGTGTCATCTATGATATCGACAGAAGACCCAATCTACAAAAATTGAAGGTGATTAAGGCTCTTCAAGACGATCTGTTTCAAAGTTAAGTGTCGATATCGACCAAAATTTGTCCTCCGTCTTTCACAGCAGCTTTCACTTTAAAACTAGTGAAAACCAGAACCTGAAAACAAAACTTTCGTGATCCAACACCAGACATGATGTATTAGCCCGCCGTCAATGGAACCGACTTGGAGATACTTGTTCATCTTCGTTATTTGTGGATTGAGCCATCTGTCGATCACATAGGTGGGTGTTCGTAAGTCATCACACCTACTTATTTTCAGACTAGTATTTGTATCACTTTGTGTCCGTAAAAGCCTTGGGTATCTTTGGCTAACTTCATCAAAAAAGTGTTACAATAATGGCTTTATTCGAATTTTGAATAGCTGAAAAAGTAACAGAAGTTTTTCACATAAATATTCCAAAAGTGGAGTTATTTTTTGAAATATCAAAAGGAAAAGATGAGTAAGTCCTGCATTTTCGAATCCTATTCCCGAGTTGTGGTTGCGTAGGATACATTTTATTTTTTGTCCAATTTTTGAAGTTGCAGTAAGCCTCAACGCAACCAACATAAATCTTGTGAGTTTTGATATTGCTTCATTCCAGGCATATTTTCTTTTTTCGAATGCCAAGTCAAATTTGTTTTTTCTACAATATCCAAATAGAGGTACACAAATTTGGTCACATCTGATTCAACTTTTATTTGGTTTTTGATTCTATTGTTTTTATATTCCGTATAAGGTCATTTCATAAAACATCTATCTTTTGAAACACAATTCGTATCTTGAAGTAATTCATATTGGTATCGAAAAAAAATAATTAACAGCCAAATTTTCTGACTGGACTCGATGAACTTTTCGTAATGTTAGAGGTGAATTTATTTTATACGTAATGCAGACCATAGAACTATGTATTTTTTCTTCATCATATGTTACATTGACTCTTGACTGAACCACTTTTTCAAAAATGATCATATTTATGTTTTTGAATACTAGCAGTTTCGTAAATATAGTCATTTTCAGATAGATAATAATAGTTTGATTGATAGCTATCCGCTCTATGCTATTCTTCATCATGTAATGAAGTAAGCTCTTTAATTTTGTTTGAGATTGACAGGTTGATTTGGGTTTCTTCGAATTAGGGGCGATTGACATTGACTTTGGTTGTTTTGAAATTGGGCTCGACCTTGATTTTGGTTCGTCTGTGGTCTATTATTACAAACTTTTGCATGAAAATTCAGTTTGTCTTGGAATGTTTTGCTTTGTCTGAGGGTTTGCCTGACTAACAAAATTTTGATTGAAACATTGGGGACCAATTAGAGGTTGTTGATGTCTCATTCGATATACTGGGTAAACGTGACTTGTATGACAAGTATGGCAAGTCCTTTGGGGTGTCGGTTAATTTTGTCTTATGGTCTGTTGAGGCGAGTTTGTTTAAGTCTTTAATTTTTTTGAAAAATATGAAAGATGCATTGTTCTCCTGATTATAATCTGGGATTCGAGTGAATCTGCCCGATCGGCGGCGCGGATTACTTGAACTATTGACCTGATACTGGTGAGATCGTTTACCCACAATTCAACATATATTTTATGAGGTTTCATCATACATAGTGTGAAATTAATCAGTTTTGCACTACATATAACCAAACGTTTTAAGCTTCACTCAGATTTTGTAGAAAAATACCCCACCCATCGTTATTTTATGTCGTCATATGGACGAGCAGGTCCATATGACTGTTTCCCTGAAAGATAAATGAATATTTCGATTTTTTCATCAAGAGGTAATCAACCAATTTGAGATAAGAATACTGAAATGCTTTACCTATTTCCATATTTCCTTTTGCTTTCCAGTTATTGGTTCTCAGATATCACTTTAATATTGTTCATGCACGATATAATTGAGTGAATGAAATATAGAGTATCTTTTCAAACCGACTTGAATGAGTTTTATTGTGCAGGGTCTATTGTTTGGTCACTTAAATTATTTAATATTCAAGTTTGTATGAATATTCATTGAAATTTTTTTTCCGAATGATCTCCATAGTAATCTCTGTCAAACCACGGATTATTGATATGTGATATAGAACTGACCAAGTATCTAACCATGTGGCACACCGTTCAATATCACTTATATCTGACTGAAAGTTCTAGAGGAAACCGTAGCAAACTTCGTCGATTCTTCAAATCTAGCCTATGGACCCAGAGTTATCCGTGGAGTCGGCTCTGTAAAAATCTTCATGGAAATAAATATCCAATGAATTATTTATTTGTTCATCAAGGTTGTATTTTTGATGGGATAACTGTAAACGGGCTGTTTTGTTATTGACTAGTAGAAATTGAAAATAGGTTCCTATTCTTTTGAAACCGATATCTAGCCCTATAATGATGGAATAATTAATTGATTTTAATTAAATTCACTTGTATCTATAAAGGAATAAATATTTGCCATGAGAGAACTATATTTAACTTCCAATTATTTTATCACGTCACTGGAAAATAATCAGGGTGGGACATCGAAAACGGAACAGATCGAATATCTTCAAAACACATGTTTTCTGAGAAAAATGCAAAAACACGTCGATTTGTAATCCAAGGGGGACATCTTTCTATCATAACCTCAACTGTCATACCTCTCCCCCACTTTTCGGTCACCCAAACAATTTGAATAGGGAAAGTAGTAAGTGTGACACATCATTAAAAAGTAATTTCATAAGGAATTCGGCTATGTCAAATTTCCATACCTAACTTTCTATTTTGGCGCCCTCTTGCGGGAAAAAACTGTTCCGTATTCCAAATTATAATACTACATTTGTAAGCTACTTTGACATAAATTCCGTGACAATGCATTATGGAATTTTTACATTGGAAAAAACAAAATGTCGGCTCCACAATAGCGGACAAGATTTGCAATTTAGGTCCGATTTGATTCGAAATTGATAAGTGGTGGTTTCCAGGGTCGAAATGCAAATTGTTTGTCAATGCAAAAAACAATATAGTACCTCCAATATGGCGGACGAAATTTGTAATTATGTTGTGATTCGAATCAAAATCAGTAAGTGATGATTGTCAGGGTCGAAAATTATGATTTTTTTGTCAATGCAAAAAACAATAAGGCGGGCGAAATTTGTAATTATGGTTCGATTCGACCCGGCACCGAAAACGAATTCTTTAAAACACATGTATTGTGAGAATAATGCAAAAACACGTCGATTTTAAATCCAAGGGGAAAAATCTTCCTATCATAACCTCAACTGTACTACCTCTCCCTCCTTCTCTCGGTCACTATCACCCAAACAATTTGAATAGGGGAAGTAATAAGTGTGACACATCATTAAAAAAGTAATTTCATAAGGAATTCGGCCATGTCAATTTTCTCTACCTAATTTACTATTTTGGCGCCTTCTTGTGGAAAAAAACTGTTCCGTATTCCAAATAATGATACTTCATTTTCAAGCTAATCTGACATATATTTGGTATTTTGGAGATATTCGATCTGTTTCGTTTTCGGTGCCCCACCCTGTATGTGAAGCAAAGTTTCCGATACTCTATTCAACACTCAACGAATTTAAAATGTTAGTTTCAATACTCAGGAAAGGTTGGCCCTCAAAATACAGTCATGGTACGTGGTTTTGTTGTACATCGATTCGACCCGGCACCAAAAACGAATTCTTCAAAATACATGTATTGTGAGAATAATGCAAAAACACGTCGATTTAAAATCCAAGGGAAAATATCTTCCTATCATAACCTCAACTGTACTACCTCTCCCTCCTTCCCTCGGTCACTATCACCCAAACAATTTGAATAGGGGAAGTAATAAGTGTGACACATCATTAAAAAGGTAATTTCATAAAGAATTCGGCCATGTCAATTTTCTCTACCTAATTTTCTATTTTGGCGCCTTCTTGTGGAAAAAAAACTTGTTCCGTATTCCAAATTATGATACTTCATTTTCAAGCTAATCTGACATATATTTGGTGTTTTGAAGATATTCGATCTGTTTCGTTTTCGGTGCCCCATCCTGTATGTGAAGCAAAGTTTCCGATATTCTATTCAACACTCAACGAATTTAAAATGTTAGTTTCAATACTCAGGAAAGGTTGGCCCTCAAAATACATTCATGGTACGTGGTTTTGTTGTACAAAAAAGTGATGAGGAGTTTTACTAAAAATGGACAATATTATTATTTTTCGCTGCCTCTTATGTATAGCCATTGTATTTTGACGTTCATTCCTTAATAAACAAAAAGCTTTCGATTGGGATATGCGGGTATATACGAGGGCTTCAAGTTGCAGAAACGGGCGGAGTATTGGGAGAAGCCGACGAGTGAACAAATAAAACGGTGAAATACTTTCAAAGAGTTATGAATGAGTTTAGCTTGCTGCTGGATGAAGAAAACTGTGGGGTAACTTACATGAATGTCTATCGTATATAATTCAATGTTTATCGCGATATTAGCCAGGAAAGTAGTTGTTTTCTGATAGTCATTTTTCAGCACCTTCCTTGATGATTTTTTCTAATTCTCATAATCAAAGTGTTGAATTGTATTTCGAGCTATTATATTTCACTATGCATATAAATTGCTACTTTACAGAATCCACTTGAATTTAATAACAGTGGTAGGACGTGAGATTACTTTGCACAATGAAATTAGTTCAATAAAAAACTTCACATTTTTGTTCCAGAATGTGGTCGGACTTTGAGGAGGTCAAGACAACCCAGACTAGGGATGGTCGGACGAATTATTCATGGCAAGCAGAGTGTTAGAGGAGCTTGGCCTTGGCAAGTAAGAATTTCATGTAACATTCCCATAATGATAAGATTGATAAAATACACTATTGTCGGTGAAATAAATCATAGTTACAAAGCGCAAGTAATGTAGTGAAATATTCAATGCCGAGTAAAAAACTGTACAAACCCGAAAAATTATTATCAAAAAAATTGTGTGAAAGTCTAGAACTGAATTTAAAAATTAATAAAATGAGGAATTTCCAAAATATTCTCCAAGATTATAGTAGACTTTTTTTACCATTTATTCACTGACTTTTAATTCGAATATGAGATTTTATTGACTTGATTTCACGAGGAGAGTAATCATATGCTCGTGTTTTACACCCATTGTAAATTATCAGAGTTGTGAAAAAAATATGGAGTTCAATATTGTTATTTTGGCGGATATTCTAGTGAGTTGGATAAGAGCTAAACCTGTCTATATAGATAATTTTTTGTAATCAGTAGCAGTATTATTTTTGGAATATACAGTGTCATCATTAAAGTGCGCACCATATGGGAAACTTTTTTTTCGAAAAGTTTCAATGAAGTTCAACTTCGGCACTTGTTTGTGCTTTAAATTCAACTTGAAATGATGCGGCCAACTGCGACCCACTGACGTTCAGTGTTTGTCAAATTCAACTTTTTTTTTTAGAAAAATGATAAAGTGCATTTCTAGATCGAATTTAACAAAAAGT